AGCGGGCACACGGGCACCCAGCACGTACACGAAACAATAAAAGCGCATAAACTGCATCACGGCGCACTTACTATAAAGTATATCTGTAACATTGTGTGTCGGTAATGCGCATACTTTAGCTTCGCAACGATTACTTTCGTAATGTACAATGCAGAATGTATTCAGTGCAGTACCACTTCAAAGCGTAACAAATTTAAAGAAAATCTCAAAACAGCGCATTCAGGAATAATGGATGAAAACAAATACAGGCGCATTAATAAATGACACATTAAATTGATTGATTAACAGAATTTAATACTTCATAGAAATTTATTGGAAAATTAGCGCAAAATGCTTGGAAATTAACGTTATTAAGTATAAAATAAATATTTTAAAGAAATTATTGTTCTAAACGGCAAAAAAATACATTTTTTTACTTGCACCTTCAAAGCGTCAGTTTTTCCACGCTTTTGAGGCACAAAAAGTGATACTTTATCCACGGACGCCCAAAGACTGTGACTAAAGTACTTTAACCACGGAAGAACTGAAGCTTTCATGTTGGAAGTTGAAAAAAAGTATTTTTTTATCGATTAAAACAATAACTTCTTCAAAATATTTTATTTTTGATTCATGAAAGAAATATGAAGACAATTTATCGAAAACAAATCCAAAATTCCTGAGTTATAAACACTGTAACACCCCTAACTTTGTATTATAAATCATAGATGTACAGTGTACTAGATTTATACAATGCGTATGATGCCGTTGTATTGTTTGGCATTGGCGCACGATATGAGTAAGTGCATTATCTTTACGAGCGCACACTGCCGAGACGCGCGACGAGCGAGACTTACTCCTTCTGACGCTGCGCGCCGAGAGTTTGTTGCGGTAAATGCGGTAACGATATTGCTGCGGAATAGCGGATGTAATGCGATGCAATGCGCAGCACTGCAATGTTATTAACACGGCGACGTGTTAATAAACATCGCGCGCAATTTGTACCGGCGTTTGTTATGCGCGGAGTTATAATTATAGGTGTATTGAATGATATTTCCAACATTGCACATTGTACTCGAATGCTGCGTATTGTTATACTACATGAATACATGATACAAACAAATATTATTGCTTTAGAAGAGTATTTTCTTATTTTATTATCAACTTTAGCCTGCGACTTTGTCCTGGTAGTGTTTAATAAAAATGTAATTCGTTTTTATTCTCTTGTTCTAGACATAGTATGTGTCAATTCTATGAATAAGATTTACAATTTTATTTTAAAGAAATTATTTATAAAAAGAATTGCTAATAATGTACTTCAGCACGCCATCTCGGAATCAACTATTTAACTATAACTATGATTGAATCTCAATGCCAATTTTTATCCTTTAGAAAAGGGCTGTCTTTAGGGTTTTTCCCGGCAATTATTCGAAGTTTTCTCGCCGTAAAAACCATCTTTGGACTTTAACGAACATATTAAAAAAATAATTGGCCAAATTGGCCTCGGCGTTGGTGAGTTATGCGCTTACAAACAGATTTTGCGATTCATTTAATATTATGGAAGATTAAATATCTAGGTACTGATTTTGTTCATGTTACTCACGTAATTAAACATTAATTTGCATTATAATGAAATGATATTTTCATTTGTTGACACAGGTGCAATAAATGCAAATTTAAACTTTATTTATTTTACATACGAATTTATTATTATAGTAATAGCTAAAAATCACAAAGGTAGTATTTATACTATTAAATTACAAATGCTTAATTAAATTTAAAATACCTACATTCTCATATTTAAAAAAAAAACAATAAATTTTACATCTACATCCATTTTCCTATTTAGAAATTTCCATGCGAATAGTTTATTTAAAGCATTGAACATGAAAATGCACAAACACATACATTACGCGCAAATCTCGCCAAAGCCACTTCTCATATTTATGCTCATTTTCGCATTGCATACTCGTATATTGCGTTTCGCCAGCGCCGCGCTAAATCGGTGAGTTGCGCTTCGACGCTTTGTGGTAGAGTAGCAGGCGGCATAGTTTGCAAAATTCCCGAAACCAATACGCAAGATATGTAAGTGTAAGTACGAATGCATAATGCACGAATGCATCTGTATCCGCGTGCGCGTAATGCGGAAAGCATTCGAGCAAATTAAATGTTTGGCGAATGTTTGCGCTCGCGAATACGCGAATAGTGAAATGTACACGCATTTTATAATAATAATACATACCAAATGTACGGTCATAATGTTCGCGTGGTTTAATAATAAATTTACTAATATGTTAAACTATTTGATACTTGAATTCATCAACATTCGGATTAATATTAATTTTGATTTTAATATAACTAAAATATTCTTAAAAATAAAATTCTAAGCATTTCTCATAAAAACTTTTCTTTAAAATTAAAAAATAGACAACAGATGTTTCCTATTTGATGCCATCAGTACCCAAATTCTTTCCTAGACATTTTTTAAAAGTTAATATGTTTATTTTCAGTCTGTACCGAGTAGAACCATTAATAATTCATTAGCTTTTGTTTTTCTTAGCGCATTGTCTGTAATTAATGTAGGTGATTCGTGTGCGTTCGCATTTTATGCTCAGAATTTTCTCTCCGATGCACATTTACACTGCGTTTACACTCGGGTTAATAAGACAAGGTGAATGATACGTGCGAAGGGGTGACGCCCAGCCATGCGAAACGTCTGGACGCTCATTGTTCTCACTAACCATTATATACTAATTCATTTACAACAAACCCTAAAACTTCAAACGTGAAAACACAAAACTATGTTAATATTTAATATTCATACAATTTTATTTTAAATAATTCTTATTCATTGCAGAATAATTACGCTCGTAACATCATTATTAAAATAATTTTCCGATCGTAAAATATTACGAATCAATAATCATTTAATTATAAGTATGAATAATACCAAAGCATTTGTATTACCTGTTCCGGTTGATGGCTGCGTATAATTAAAAGTGCGTAATTAAAACCCAATTAATAGCGTAATAGTATGCTCCTTTTGACAGGCCGGCACGCCGTGTGCGTTTACGATATCAACGCTCATCATGCGCGAACGCGCGTTTAACATTGTTCGTTCTTCGGTGCAATGGCGCACAGCACATGCTCGGGTGAAACATTCCGTGTCATACCATGTGCGGTCTCTGGCGACGCATCTGTCTCTTTGTTTCCTGCGTATCAAGCACGTACAATACACCGAATGTAGGAAACCAGAACATGCCATGCGTATATTTTCGGCTGGTGCAGTTACAAGTTACCAAACTCATTACAAGCGAGATATTTAACCTCAATACGAACTAATTTCAATGCGTCACACACACTAAAACATAACCCTATGTAACCTAAATGCAAAATGCGTCATTGAAATAATTTTGGTTGCATATATCTATAATATCAAAATAAATCGCAAAATCTGTTGGTAAGCGCATAACTCAACAACGCCTACACCAATTTGGCCAATTCTTTTTTTTAATGTTCGTTAATGTCCAAGGATGGTTTTTACGGCGAGCAAAATTCGAATAATTGCCGGGAAAACCCTAAAGACAGCCCTTTTCTATAGGATAAAAGTTGGCATTGAGATTCAATCATAGTTATAGTTAAATAGTTGAATCCGAGATGGCGCGCTGAAGTAATTAATTTCTTTAAAATAAAATTGCAAATCTTATTGATAGAATTGACACATACTATGTCTAGAACAAGAGAATAAGAACAACTTACATGTTCATTAAACACTACCGCGACGAAGTCGCGGGCTAAACTAGTAACCCTATATAACTTATATGCAAAATACATCACTGATGTATGTTTGGTTGCATATATAAAACATAAAACCTTAAATTTTATATTTCATTTAACCACTAATGTTTTTATTACGCTTTTAAACGTGTATAAAACATAAACGCACATGTTTAGTTCATTCATACAGTTTTTATCTCTGCATGATGTGTGTGCCTCGATAGCACTTCCACTTCACATGCACCCGCTGCAGACGACACGTCATATGACGTAAAAAATATTACTGTTATTATCGTCATCATCATGCACAAATAAACAACGTGTAGAAAAACGATTCAGAGCGCAAGCACGAATACTTCATTCACAACATACCAGTTAGTTAGTTAGTTAGTTACTTAACTCGCATAGATTTCATAATATAATATGTATCATAATATTTTATTTAATTAAAAATCTAATTTGTCGAGTAAACATTCTGTGCGTGGCTCTATGAATATTTCATCGTAAGCTGGCGGCGACGATGTTGACGATAAGTTATAATTAAAATACGTAAAACGCATTTTATAAAATATTAAATTTCATTAACATTTTTTCTTCGCCGTGCGTCTGCAGTGGCCTCGTTAGTCGCGCAGGGGGCTCGAGCCCTTAGCCACTTTTAAATTACGTTTTCTTTTTTTTATTCAACTCGGTTTATGAATATTCATAAACGACGATAAACGACAACGCGCAAACGGATCAGTACCTAGTGGTGGTGCGCGACGTTCTTTTATCAGTGATATAATGAGCGTGATAAAAAACAGCGTCAGGTGCTCGCTTTTATTATAACGTCACACGCATCCACCGAAGATTCAACTCGACGTCTAGCTTAATTTATAAATAAATAAAGACGTAATCTGTCAAAGTTATAATTCGCTATTTCATGTTATTAACGCGTTAGAGTAGAAAATACTATTAATATTGCGAATACAAAACTACAAAAGTTTCAGAAGATAAATGAATGTTTGTTTCTCTTTCCTGCAAAAACTACTGAACCAATTTTAATGAAATTTAGGAATGTTATAGTTAATATATCAAAATAGAACATAGGCTAGTTGTCATCGCAAAAACACCAATTTTAGGGCGCAAAATAAGGGATGAAAGTTCAAAATTATTTTTTTCCCTAAAATTCACCGAATAAAACAAATCCCAAAATATTTTCTCCGCGCAATGATTATGTTAACACCCAGTAATAAATAAAATAAACTCACCTTTGAGATGTTGAACATATTTCCTCTTGTGATTGCACAATTTAGTTAAATCACCGTTATTCGTATCTGGCGTGAAAGTCCATGTTTTGCCAACAACCTGCAACAAATATTTACGATCAAAAACTTTAATTAACTTCAATTTAATTACATCAAATACAAATATATTGTCTTTTGTGCTTCGCTGCGAGTTTATAATAATGATTACAATGATTCATTTGCGGGCTTTGCGAAAGCGGGCGAAAGTTTTTGCGATTTGCCGAAATTCGCTATCGCCCACCCACGCCGGTTATCAATGCGGCCACGCTATGGCTCTCGCAAACGAGCTCGTCGGGTTTAATTAAAGTTTCGTGTTTGATTACTCGATGACCGGCGCGGTTACAACTCGCCGCTGTTTGGTAAAAGGCTCCCCGAAAAGCTGGCGATACAATGATAGGGGTTGATAGGAGTCTGGCCGTTCAATTTTTTCATTCGCTGATTCACCGCCTATCGCAGTATCTGATAACTCATAGTAAATTTACACATTTACTCTATACACTATGTTCATAAAATTGTTAAATTACGCCATAACTTGTCTAAAATGTGTTTATAATGTTTATACGCGTTGAACACGCTGTATAATCGAGTTTACAAATTTCTAGACACATCGATACGTTATTTGCACGCAAATTCCGCGCATTTTCTCTCCGATGCGATACGTTACGCAACCGAGAGGTGAACATTCGTTTGTCGTGCATGCGTTTTGTGTTCGCAAATCGATCGCCACCCTTTTCGCCAACGCTCGAAGCCGTGTTGCGTTTTTTATTTCCAACCAACATGCAGCAAACAAACGTCAGCCAACATCACATTCAACAATTTGCTTTTAATCCGATGAATGTTTTCCAGCATTCTATTTACCCTCGCGATTGAAATTTTAACTAAATTACACACAAAATAAATACAAACATGCAAATTTTTCGTAAATATAATAAGCAATTAATATTCCTTCCTCATTGCAATTCAACAGAAAGTGAAATTGAAAGATGTGACGGGCGTAAAACAAACAAAACGGAAAGAAAACGCAATTTATGCAAAACGAAAAGCGAAGAGACGTCGTTTAATTACTCGCAACACGCAAACTAATGACACTCAGGCTGGTTATTTCTCGAGTATACAAGTACACATTGCATAAGTAAATTAAAAAACAGAAAAGAGTAAGACAGAAGCCTCAGAATTAAAAAAAATAAAATTTACCTACAAATGAAACCAATGATTAAATTTTTTTCAGCAACTGCCACCAACAAGCGATTCAATAAGTAAATATATTAAATTTTAACATTTCGTGTTGAGTATTCAAGTTTTCAAGCTTGTTGCTTGCTCCCTGTCTCTGATAATTCGCTGACAGGCAAACGAAGAGGTTGAAGAGTCGAGAGACTCGAGACGGAAACGATTAAATTTGCAAATGCTGCGAATGCGAATAATTAAAGTATCGCTTCAATCAAATGGAAATAAAATCAACAGCTGGCAAGCCTGTAATTAAAAATGAAAACATACACAAACACATTTTAAATTAATTTTTGTTTTTGTTCATTTTAAATTCTAACAACAAAAAAATCAATGAAATAAACTCGATATAATCACATTGACCCGATTTTCTATTATTACACGAATTACACACGTTTATTTGTCATATTCAGCGGCATTGTTTGTTAATATTTAATACGACCAATATGGAAGGTTTAACAAAGCGTAAAGTAAATAATAAATGAATATCATTCGATAATTGCATTGACGGAAATGTTGAAATTGCGCCTGCTCCACTTGCACCGCCGGCGGCGATTCTGCGAATTCTATTTTCTACGCCGCGGTGGGCTACCTACAATTATTACGCAAATCCATAACACATACATCAAGCAAATACACGAACTCTCGCCGCGGCAATCCCATCGAATGCATAATGCATGAACTACATAATTCACTTTTAATTTGCCGACGCGCGCGCGCGCGGCGCAATGAAACGACACTCTGCGAACGTTTTTAGAAAGCTTTTAAATTTGCAACAAGCGCTTTAACATTTACGCGCGCGCCCGCACCGCGAAGCACTACAGAGGATGATAAAAGACGAAAATTAGATTCACCCCATTCGCGTGTCGCAAGCGTTTCTGTCAAGCTCATGCTACGAAATGTTTTGTGACGAGATAAAAGCTTTAATGAAAACGAGGCAAAAAGTATCACCGCAGCGTCCGCAATGGATGCTTTACACCCACACACACACACACACATAACTGGAAGCTTTTAAACTTTTATCCGAGCAATATGAGCTTGGCGGTGGTTTTTTTCCGGTCCGGTTTGCGGCGGGCTAAAAACAAAGCGACAACAACCCATCGGGGACGTGGAATTGCAACGAAGGGGATGAAAAATCCCCACATACACACACATGCAAGTAAACTGAATGTTTCCTGTATTTTTTGTGTTGCTCATCGCGAGCGTATTTCTTTTGTCCATAAATTTGTAACTTTTTCATTCGGAAAACAAAAAACTACGTCGGTTGAGCACGAAGTCAATTTGAAAGTCCGAAATTGTGAGGTTATATTTCCGGTTGACATGATGCGGAACATTTGAATATTCGAAACGCAGGATACAAATTAAAAGTTATTAAAAGCGAACAAAACGAGAAAAACTAACATAATAAAACTTATTATCTGCACAATTTGCGATCCCGCGCTTAGTTTTTTACAACGCAATAAATCTCAACGAGAATACACAGATTAAAAATAAACGCAGCGTTTGTATGCGTGTGTGTTGTGCTCGTATGAATAGCGAAAAACAATAAAACATGCGTTAACTTATCAAGACGCCCATTAATAGGCAAAAAACATCTCGTAAAAAGCGCGCGAGCGTTCGCTGGAAAACAAAGCATAAAAACTATGCACGACAATGCGTGGAGGCGAACGAAAAATAATAAAAGCAAATAAACCGGCGAGCACTTTGCAGATGATGAGCATAAGTAACATTGAAACGTGAGAATTGAATAAATTTGATACAAAGCGACAGAACGCAGCGGCCTGAGACAAAACAGTAATTGTTTCTAGTTTTACAACTGCTCATTGTAAATAATAACAGTCGCCTAATGGCCATCGCTCGTTCCTGGGATTAACCACACGACGGCGGCGCGAAACCTACGATTTTGCACGATCCGCCATTTTGTCATTAAAGCAAATTTAAACACGTATTTATTTTACGACGCTCATAGCGCATAATGAACGTGCGGAACAACCGCAAATTTAATACGAAATTACCCGGCACTGAATCGTCAATAAGTCGCGTTGTTTATGTGCGATACCCGCGCAACAAGTAAACGCTATGCGCGAAGAGACAACGATTAGGTTATGTTTATGATTAAAGCAGTGTGCGCGCGCGCGCGTGGGACGACGACGCTCACAAAGTGCGATTCGTTTCATTACATTATATTACATTTTATAAGTGCAGATTCCCTCCGTGTATGTTTATGTTTATGCAAAGCCGATAAACACAGTGGGTACAGTGGTAGTAAATTTATAATGGACCGTGGCCACATTATTCGATTCGCGAAACAAAGGAAGCACGATCCGAACAAAGCGCTACAAAAAAGAAAGCCACCGAACAAACAAGCGCAGCACAACTGCACGCCCAATGTGACTGCAAATGTATATATATGTGTGTATATGTGTGTGTAATGGGCTAAAATGAAAGAAGTTTAGCACGACGACATTGGTAATTGCTGGAAGATGTTGAAGCGTTGACGATTCGCAACGCAAAATTTAAATTATACACGCTTGGGAAAATATACAATGCGTTAAGAGGCATTTTAAACATGCAAAATGATATTTTTGTATTTTTACGCATAAAAATACGTTGCGAAAGTGGTTAAAACAATTTTTAGATATTTAATGATGTGAATTATGCAATCGTGTAAAAATATTGAAAAAAATATAAAAACATTGAAAATTTTTAGCAAAAAGAGAAAAACAATGAGTTTTTCATGAGAAAAATACGAGTAGCTAGTAAATAAGTGTTTTCTACTCTTCCTAAGTAATGTACCATTATAGACTAGTACATAAAATGTAATTTCTACAATAAAATAAACCAAAGAAAATAAAACCAAAAATTTAAAAACTTTTCTTTTTGTGTCAATGAACAAAGTGTATTTTATTATTGCTGACTTTAATAAGAGAAAACAATACCTATAATTACATAGGCCGTGGGCCGCCATGACAGATTGAACGCAAAAAAAGAGTAAAACAATCAACAAGAAAGTGATGACAGCGAAATGAAACGCGACGACTTTAACGACGTGATTGTTCTTCGACTCTTTCAGCTCTTTGACAATTTAACTCCACATCTCCGCTCGCTTCGGCCTGTGATTATGGCAATTACTCAAAGTAAAGTGTGCTAATAGTGTGCTAATTGGATGCAAAGTAGAAAACAAAATACCATACAAGCAAAACAAAAAAATATGCAAAACTTAAATGGATTTTAGTTGTAATAGTTACAAAATTACTACTCAAATATGTACGATGTACGGTATAAAATGAATCGCAAAATCTGTTGGTAAGCGCATAACTCTACAACGCTTACACCAATTTGACCAATTCCTTTTTTAAAATGTTCGTTAAAGTCCAAGGATGGTTTTTACGGCGAGAAAAATTCGAATAATTGCCGGAAAAACCCAAAAGACAGCCCTTTTCGATAGGATAAAAGTTGGCATTGAGATTCAATCATAGTTATAGTTAAATAGTTGAATCCAAGATGGCGCGCTAAACTGCATTATTAGCAATTCTTTTTATAATTAATTTCTTTAAAATAAAATTGCAAATCTTTTTGATAGAATTGACACATACTATGTTTAGAACAAGAGAGTAAAAACAAATTACATTTTTATTAAATACTACCGGAAAGAAGTCGCAGGCAAAGGCTAGTTGGTAATAAAAATTGAATTTTTGCTTCTTTGCAATTTTTATTTTGTTACAAAGTATTTACGCGTAGCTAGTTTATGTAAAACACGCATTTACCTCGATTTCCAAGTATTTACAACACCTACGCAGCACTCACAACTCAAGAATCAATACACTCCTTCTAATA